GAGTAGAAGTAGCATTTACATCTTCTGTTTGCAACTCACGCTCTTTCAGCGAGCTGTTCATATTCAACATTGTCACAATATTGCTAACGTTGTAAACAACTATTTCTGCAAATGTAAGAAGAACTGTATAAGGCAATGAGTAGTTAAAACAGGGATTTCCAATATAAAATTGCTTACCTGGATGTGTCAAACCTTCTATAAAAAACGTTTGTTTTGAGGAACTGCTTGATTTGTCATATGACAACAGGAAATATGACATTGTTTGATGTGGTGTATTTCCCATGTACATTTGAAACACGTTTGCTGAGTGAGGAAAGAAAGACCTAAGCTTTCATAATTAAATTGCCATTTGATCATAACCTCATAAACTATATGTTATAAAGCATTAATAGTAAACGCTGAATGTAAACGACGGAATCCAGAATAAAATCATCTTACTTTTCTCAGGTGCAACGTAATGAAAGCACACGGGAAGAAACAAAACGAAGGATAACCCAAACGTTATCAGCAAGGTTTTTTGGTGACTAGTTAAGTTTGGCATTTTTATCGATTTTGAAATAACATCAGTTTACACGAAATGTGGCTGCTTGCAATTGATGCTTACAAAACGACGATTAATTCGTAATTATGACATCACAATTTACGTCATTACTATGAGAAAGATGTGACTAGCGCGAGCGCGCGTGCGATTGCATCCATGGGTTCACTGTGGTATATAAGTACAATTGTACACTAGGAGCTGCTTTCGGATTCTACTGGCTTTAAAACAAGAACATTTGCTTTCGTTTTCTATTCGTTATTCGGTCAGGATTTTACTTAAAAACAACTTAATAATATCATCAGTTGATAACAATGATATCGTAAATCGAAAATTCGCCAGCAAAGATAATAACACATAAACAAGGAAACAAAACAAACACTCTAAATATGGCAAGACCTCCTAACTCTGGCATGGGAATGTCTTATCAAAAGGCAGAATTACGGCAGAGCACTCCTGGAAAGCAGCCAAACACTCCTAGCTGCTCTGCCGTAATAAGACAAGTTTCGTAAAATGTCAAAATAACGATTATAGTCTGGATGAGGAAGTTTTAGAAACCGGAATGCAATGTCTGCAAAAGACAATGTCAAATTTGTAAGACACTTTTACCTTAGAATGAACTAGGTCACGGTCTGCCTCAAGAGATGTGCATGAAAGCAATGTGATCAGTATTAAAACACAGAACAGTGGGGGGGGCTTTTGTCAGTAATATATAGCTAAAAACAAAATATAGCAGATATAACTGTTCATATTTGTTAGCTGAGTATTGTCTAGAGCATGAAAATTATGCACAATTTGACCGAAAGAAAATTGACTTTTATTAAGCAGCATATTGGCAGACGCATGTGTATGCTACTCGTTTTCTCGATAAAAGTACTACAGGAGTATAAACCGTAAAAAAACTCGTTTTTTGGTATACCGTAAATGATCTAATAAATGCCGGGAGCGTTTATTAAATTTCAATGGTTAAAGGGGGGCGTTTAATAGACGGGGAAAGTTCATTAGAGAGAGGCGTTAATTTTAAAATAAAACTGGAACAATGTAATATACCTCATGTTATGAATTATAACTTATAGAAAAAGGGAAGTAGGTCTTGTAGTTCCTGGGCGCTAAACTTCTACGACAAAACGCAAGAAAATTGCGTTTAATAGACAGGGGGCGTTTGTTAGAGAGGGGCGTTCAATACAAACTTCTAAGCATAGGGGGAGCGTTCATTAGATGGGAGGCGTACATTAGAAAGGGGGCGTTTATTAGATCATTTACGGTATAAAAAAATACGTCGTCCAAAAAGGAGGGTGCGTGCGAACCCAAAGCCACTACCCTGGATCCGCCCCTGATGACAGGGGGCTGACTATAGAAAACATATTAGTTAGTTTAGCCTCTCGCTCTATTTTTTACAACAAATTTACATATTTTTATACTTATTTATCGCTTTTGTTACAAGTTAAAAGCAAAAGAGCAATAAAACAGTTTCAGTTCAATCAGTTCAGTTGAAATTAGAACCTGCACAAATATCAAACTCATTAGCTGTATTTCCTGTTTCAGAATTCAAATCATTTCATGGTTTTCAGCTCGGAACCACTCACTCTTTATTCTTAAAAACGTTTGACTCGGTTTGGCAGGAACAAACTTATCTTGAAGAAGGCAGGGCGCCAGATTTGCTTGTGAGATTGTCAACAATGTAGCTCAAAATCTCTTTCCCAGGAACAAATTCTTGCAAGAACAGTTATTTAGAAGAACAGACCCCGTCGCGTCGGCTCCTCCTGATATGCTACCTTTACTGATTCAGAATTTAAATCATTTCATGATAACTGTTTTCAGCTGGGTACCACTCACTTCCAGTCTTCTCTCGTCGCTTTTGACGTCACTGTTGACAACGTAGGCTTTTTGTCTAGTTAAACTGAGACTTGAGGTGCTTCT